TAATGTCTCCAGGGCTGGGAGAGAGGTGAGTAAGTTTTCCTAGTTGTGCCCAGAGCGGCCACCAGGACTCCCTGGGAAGGGCTAGAGGCCCCCTATTTAGAATTAAGTGTCTACACAGCACTTAATTTGAAATGGCTATTTTGATTTTGGTGTTACTCCTCTACTGGTACCTCGTAGAGATCCTAATTTGAACTACCTACTCCGTGCCACGTGTATCTGCGGGCACGGAGTTCGGACTAAGGGACATTTAAAAATGGCGGCGCCCGGGATATTTAAATCCCGGGCTTCATTTGCAACTTCAAATGCCTACATTAGCCTCCCTAGTTGGAACTAAGGGGCTAGTGTTAGACATACCCTTAAGATTGTTTGAGAGAGATGCACAGCTGTTAACCCCTCCACCCGTTAACAATTGTTTACTCTGAGTTTATTTATGAACAAAAGTCATTTTATTAAGTATAAAAGTAGGATTTAAGTGGTTGCAAGTAATAGCAGATAAATCAAAGAGAGCAAAGTAAAACAAAAACACACCAGCTAAGCTCAATACTCTAAGGATATCTCTACACTGCCACCCTAGTTCGAACTAGGGTGGCAGTGTAGAGATATCCTTAGAGTATTGAGCTTAGCTGGTGTGTTTTTGTTTTACTTTGCTCTCTTTGATTTATCTGCTATTACTTGCAACCACTTAAATCCTACTTTTATACTTAATAAAATGACTTTTGTTCATAAATAAACTCAGAGTAAACAATTGTTAACGGGTGGAGGGGTTAACAGCTGTGCATCTCTCTCTCTCATTGATGAAAGAGGTGAACAATTTGTGAGCTTACTCTGTATAAAGTTTACAGAGAGTTAAACAGATTTATCTGGGGTTCTGGTCCCTTGGGGCTGTTTCTTGTACAGGTTGAAGCTCTGTTAACCGGGACCCCTGGTCCGGCATCCGTAGTCCAGTAAGACCATGGATGCTCCAGGACCACAGTGTCCCAATGGAAGGCTGGCAGCCTCCCCAGTTGTTTGGTTTCCTGTGTGCTGGGCTGCCTGGTGTGCCACAACTGGGATGCTAGGCACAACCCAACAGAGCAGCCCACCACGTCCAGGAGCTCAGCTCCCCACAGCTGCCTGTCATGTTCAGGAGCCTGGTGTGCCTGCAGCAGGGCTGTGTGGCGTATCCAGGAGCCCAGTGAGTCTGCCCAGCAGGGCCAGGAGCCCAGCACGCCAGGAGAACAGCACACTTCAGCGGGACTGCCATATGTGTCCAGGAGCCCAGTGTGCTGGGAGTTAGGGTGCCTGGCTTAGCAGGGAAGAAGGGGATGGGCAGGACAGCGTGGCTGGTGGGGGAGGAAGATGACCAGGAGGCCAGTCCAAGGCTGTGGGGGGATGGTAGCAGGGTGGCAAATATAACCTCTCCTGGTCTGGCAAAATCCTCATCCAGAACCAGTCAGGTCTGCTGGACTAAAGTATTTTTATTTTCACATGTTGAATTTTTGCTGGTAATTTTGAAAACTGCTTAACTTTTCTCTCTAAAGGATTAATGAAACGTTTTACCCGGACATTCCAAACCCTGAGAACAGTAAGGCTTTGCAGTTTCAGAAGAATATATGTGAGGTAACCTTCATTTTTAATACCATTTTTAAACATGTAAAACAGTGGTCCCCAAAGTATGCAGCCCAGTCCAGCCTCCACAAGTAGCTGCAACTCTGATCCCTGGCGGGAAAGGGGAGGGCTGAGGACACATTCTGTTATTTGATATTGGTAAAGTAGAGAGAAATTTTTTGGGGCCCATTGATCTGAAATGTACAGTTGGACATATCTTCTTGATGCAAGAGTCTGTAGAAGTGATTATATGATCTGGTTTGTCTCCAGCTGTCAATTTCCTTCCTCCTTGCATTGGCAGCAGTGAGAAGCGAGAGTATTCTCTCCAGCTCCCTTTCATGCTCATTAGTAACAGTTTGTAATTGGAAGTTAATGGAAAGGCAAACTATTGCTTTCAGAGTACATTACATGAGAGAAATAACAGGGAAATAGTGGTGGGTTTTATATGCTAAATAGTTTTTGGCAAAATTTAGGAATAATTGTGAAGCTGAACTTGTTAAAATATTTTAAAATGAGTTGAGCACCAAATATATTGGGAAGGGACCGGGGGAGAAAAAGTAAAATAGTTTTTTAAACAGTAAAGAATTGCTCTGTTGCAGTGTACAGATGGTGGCATGTCTCTCAATTTAACTTAGCAAACCATTGTACATAGCGCAATACATTATCTATATGAACTAAACCTATTAACTGGCTTAGAAAAGGGCACAGCAGCAAGAGTGTAACAGGTGCACAATGGTGTGTGGAAGGGGAAACTGAAGCACCTGATCATCTCTTCACTTTTCTTAATATCCAATTATTTTTGATTGTCCTCATTTTTTTGTGTTTTCTGTTTAGGGGAACACAGCTCTTAAAACCTTGGAAATGAATCCTTGCACTCCAAATAGTGTGGAAGTGGTGGAAACGCGATCCACAGTCCCTAAAATAGAAGACACAGAAATTATGTCCCCAGTAGCAGAGAGCGAGCTTCCTGAAGATGGATCTGACCTAGAAACAGGAAGCCATGTGGTGCTGTCATACTGCCCAGCAATCATTGAGGAGGAGATCTCCAGTCCACCAATAGATGAACCTGTGGGATCTTCTCAAGTCGTTTATATTGACATTCAGTCAATGTATCAGCCTCAAGTTAGTCTAGAGGAAGAGACAGATATTAACTTTGTCACTACAGCAGGCTATAAGCCACAAATGCAACTGCCAATTAATGCTATGAAAATGGAGAGTCACTCACCCGCAGAAGAGGACATAGATAAAACTGCGGGCTACAGACCTCAAGCAAACACTAATGCCTGGAAGTTAGACTCTCCAGACTCTCCTGTATCCATTGAAAGTAACAATGAAAATGGATCTTTTGGAAGTCCGTGTTCCATTAATTCTCGGCAATTTTTGATCCCCCCAAAGGATTATGAAGACGCTTCCACCTCTAACAACACAGGATGGTCCTTTACAAATTTTTTTCAGAACAAACCAAATGATTAATAATCACAGTAATCATCATTTCATCTGAACCTGCCACTCAATAAGTTCTTGTCCCTAGTGTTGTCATAACAGCATGGGTTATCCTTGGAGACAGTCAGCAGCATTTTTTTATGAGCTAAATATTATCATGTGTAAGTTATAGTTAAAGTGTTAATGTTCCATTTTAATACAGACTAAAACTCCAACTTTATAGAAATTCAGTTATTACAGTAGTAAGATACAGGGGTTTTGAGGTTAGATCTCATAATCCTAGCCAAAAAACTGTCTGTTTTCAAGTTGTCCTTCAAGATCATGCAGCTTGTTACTTTAAAGGTGTTCTGCTTCTGTAGTTCATTGGTTCTTATGAATATTCAGAATGACTAAAGTAGTTTATAGACTGTCTAAATGGGGGGTGATGGTGATAGGGAAACTTTCAGCCTAACAGTTGCAAATGTTAATTAAATCTGTTACCTAGACATTAAAATTAGCACTTTAATCTTAGTTTAAGTCCCATTGTTAAAAATATCATCGTATTTTAACACTTTAAAGAATGTCTATTCATGTTTGTTGTTTGATAACCAGAACACTAGTTTCTGTACCTACTGTACAATGTTTATTCAGTATCTGACTCAGGGGTACAAACATGGAAAATGTGTGTAACACTGACTTAAACTAAACAAGAACTGCAAAATGTTTAAACTTCAGCATTAATTTTTTTTAAACTTTAAAAACGCTGTTTTCTCTTTTGGTTAAGGAAGTAGTATTTCTTAACATATTGCACTTCCTCAAAGAGGTTAAGCATCTTTGATCTGTTACCTCAAAGAGGTTAAGCATCTTTTTCTTCTAGAAACTTTAATTGAGGTCATTATTAGTCCAGAACTAAAGTGCCATGAGCAGACCACCCAAGTGACTAGTCTTATTCTTCCAGAGTTGTTGGTTGTCCTAACTGATCAGTAGAGACTGCCCCATGGATTGCATTTAGTAGCACTAGCTGCCCAGGCAGATTTGTTCCACCAGTGAGAAAGGTTTGTCTTCAATTATAATAGTCCCCACCAGCCAGTAAGTCTCTTTGTGGCTAATCTCCAGAAAGAGTATCTACCAACCAGAGCACTCCTTCCAAATCCAAGGTGGAAACATACAATAGAATTTCTCTGCAGGCAAGAAGGATCCTAGGTAAACTAATGCCACTAATGATTTTTAATAGCGAGTTCCCCGCCACTAGTCACCTGAAGTAATGCTCTAATGGCAGCGTATTTTACAGAAATGTTAAACATCATCATCTTTGATTTACCTCTGCTTTCACTCCTACATCATTTAAGCCTGCTATAGACCGCTCTAAATGTAACACTTCACAGTATAAACATTAGATTATGACAAATGCATCGCTAGAACCAAGCCATTGCTTCATTGACTTTGTTTTTAAATGCTTTATAGCTTAAATCTGTTTCTAATTATTGAAAGGATAATGTAGGGTCATGTGGCATAACATTGCTGTAAAACAGTGTGTCTTTAAGCTCTTAGCTGAATCCTTTTAAGGTCTTGATTTCAAGCATTAATCTGTGGTTCCTGAAATAATTTAATTGCAGAAATAGCTTAGATGTATTGCTCTGAAGGAATTAGAGCAGATCAGGAAGATAGATCTGCAAAAACAAACATGTTCATTGCATATAGAACTGTGAACTGGCTGCCCATGAGAAAAAAATGGCCTTAAACTGATCTCAGCAGTAAATGCTAAAATTCTGTATGTGTACCCACTCTTTGGATACTTCAAAGGTGGCATAATTTACCACAATCTGTGCTTGCATGAGTCGCTTGGCTAAAAATGAATGTCTTTCTCCAAGTATTCCCTATTCTTTTTTAAACAGACAAACAAAAACACTGGGTGGATCAGGTGTTGATTTTTAAGTGACATAAAAGAATATTGATAATCAGCTTGATGAGGTTTAAAAGGCAGGGGCAAAAAGGGTATTAGCCTCTTCAAATCTGATTTCTCTTGTCCATCAGGCGATAAGAGAACATCCTGTCCTGGGAACCACTCTGCCAATATGGAAGGGAAAAGCAATTCCAGACCTTGGACTATTAACAAAATTCTTGTTGACTCTCAGATGTGTGTTTTTCTTTCAGGATGTGAAGAAGGTAACTTCAAAAAGATAGGTTATAAAAAGACAGTAGATTCTTGGAGATACTTATTCTGAGTCATAATGCAACTGACTTTTTTGAACTGCTCAGAATTAAATTTAATCTTTATAGAGATTTCTGTACATACCTACAAGTAACTTACTTCCTCCATGGTATCTAACCAGTTTTGAATTGGTAGCCACTGTAGTGGCTACTGCTGTAGCAAACTAACCACATTATCCTGAAATAATGAATAATTGTCCTAGCCAACTTGCCACTCTCAACTGGCCAAATAGCCACATCTGGCTAGCGGCTAGCGTGTAGGACACCATGGCTATACATGGTAATTAAATGGTGAATTCCACAATTTAGGAATAGCTGTTTGAAGAAACTCTTGTGATATCCTTCCTCAAACTCTTCTCACTACTGCATAATTTTTGTTAAGAAATGAAAGGCCTTGGGGGGGGGGGCACATACTTGCATCTCCTGAACTTCAGATCTTAAAAATCCCTTTTAAGAATTAACAATAGAAAAAGCCCTTTGCAAATAGTGATTTCAACACTCGCAAGCATGCACCATGCTTTGCACTAGGTAGATGATACCATTTTAACAAAAATTATTTCAGATATATAACACAGATGGTCTGAATGGGATTTTCAGATCATTTTCCATGTCACATTATTTACAGAGCTGCTATTAGAAATGCCAGTTTGAGGCATTGCTTTCCCATTTCATAGATACCTACTTGGCAACTGACTGTTTAACCCTTTATTACATGTTCTGTGATGAGCAAAAAGTTTATCTTCAATATGCAATCTACTGACAAAGCCTCCATCACTGCTATGACAAAGTGATGTCTTAACGTCCAGGAAAACTTTACACCAGATCAGCAACACCAAGGAGAGATTCCGTAAACTATAGGGCAGACTTACAAATGCCTTGAGACTTAACTAAGGGATAAATCACTGGCTGATAGCTTTTGACTCTGGGAATAACAATTAGATTCAACTCAGTCACACTGTTGCCTAAAATAATTAGTATTTTGCTATTAGATTTGTAATGCAGATTAGTTTTATTTTAAGGAAAATATGTAGTTTTATTTGCTATAAATATTTATACAAAGACAAATGTTAAGCTTTCATCTATGCAAAGTACCATTATATTATATTATATTTTACTTCACTTACTTGGATATAACATTTGGTAATATCTAGTACTTATGTAATTGCCCCATTTTGCTTCTGTAGTATAGTAGAAAGAATAACTGAACAGAAGTTCAGTTAAATGAATAACACATAGGCTATGTCTACACTGCCCCCTCTTGCACAAAAAATATGCAAATGAGGTGAAGCATGGAATAGCACCATGCCTCATTAGCATAATTAATTAGGCTCCGTTTTTACGCAAGAGGCTTTAGTGCAAAAAGGAACTGTGTAGACAGTTCGTTTTTGTGCAAAAACAGAGCCGCATTAATTATGCAAATGAGGCACAGATATTCCACGCTTCTCCTCATGCGCATATATTTTTGCGCAAGGGGGGATGGTGTAGACATAGCCAAACTGTATACTGCACCTGCTCTCAGGTTATACTTTGTTTCACCATTTATTGACAGTAAAGGCAACAATATTTGAAATAATCTGATTTCTGAATGATGAGGGAGCATTCAATTTTTTCAGAGTGTAGGGCATCTGTACTGTGACCTAAACACTCAAAGTGCAGGTATTTCTTCTTTTTCACCAGCTATGCTACTTTACTTTGTAAAAATGTGATTGTTACATCGCTTGCACTGGCTTTCTGGAGAACTTTCTGCTCTTAGGGTTTATGGCTATATCCAAGCGCTGATACAAAATTTTGTATCCGCATCCACAAAAATGAGCCACAGAGATCAATAATGCTGATACATGTGGATATAAGAATATCTGCAGATTTGCAGGGCTCTATTTATAGTTGAAAACGCCTATTCTGAATGCTAGGGCCTGAATACCTCTTCACACAATGCCACTGTAATGGAAATGAGACTAGTAAGTGAGACAGACGGGTATGTATCTATATGCCAAATAGACATACATCATATTCAGTGTGTTACAAACTAGTTAACAGCTGTCTTCATTAAAAGTGAGCCCTGCCTAGCAGTGCAGTTCAGCTGTATGCAATTTCACTGATATAGTGGACTATTTTGAAAGCTACTTCATATACCTTATATTAAAATAAAGATTGTCATTTTAAATCAGTGTAAATACCAGAATGTTCAGTAAAATCTTCAGGAAGAGGCATACCAAATTAGCAAAGATGTCAGCCAACCTTTGTGCCTGAATGACTAGTCTTGTTAGATGACTGAGTTCCTTTTCAAACCTGTGCAAATGTACAATAATTGCTGAAGCGCCTTGAAGAAAAAAGTAGAGGAGTAACTAGTCTTCCATAACAAGGCTACTCTCTATGCATGGTGCTGTTTAACTTCCATAAACATTAATGGGAGTTGTAAGGGAAAAGCCACATGCTTCAAATTAGGCTCCTTAATTGATGCCTTGTAGTTTCCCAATGAAATTCTTTTAAAATAGGTTTGCTTTTCCTGTTTGTGAAAAGCCTCTGATATAATAGAAAACTTTGCATTTCCAGCACATTTCTCTCTCTATATCTGAGCCTTTGGATTTATTAAATACCTATAGATTTTTATTTTGTAGTCAGGGAACGGAGAGATAAATGTTGCGTCCAAAAGGGCGTTGAATTTAATCAGCGGAATTCTGTCAACGCACATTGATGCTCTTTTTTAGAACATAGGTAGTTTCACTTTTAATACTGTGTGGGCATCTGAGGGTGCAGCTACACAGCAGGATTTAACTCAAAATAAGCTATGCAAATTGAGCTACATCAGTTGTGTAGCTTATTTCGAAATACCTTATTTTGAAATTGAGAGCGTTTACGCAGCACTTATTTCAAAATGGAGCACTCTTCCTCTGACTTCCCTTACTTATACAATGAGGGTTACAGGAGTTGGAGTAAGAAGTCCTCCAGCTTGACAGTATTTTGACATTATTTCAAAATAACTGCCTGCTGTGTAGACACAGAATAAGTGTTGAAATAATACTAGTTGTTTTGAAATAATGTTGCTGTGTAGACATACCCTAACAGATGTTATTTTTTTTAAATGTCAGGCAGTTTAATTGTGGAACAAGTAATTTATGCTGCTTTTTAATTTTGAGCCATATTTGGTTTGTATGTGTCTGTTTTGTGGCTAGGATTTTTGTATTCTCTCTGTTCTTGAGCATCAGTAGCATTTGATTTATTTGTGTGTACTTGCTATTCTGTGTTCATTATTTGTGTTGTATTGACTGATACATGGGGACTTGGAATATTAACTGACATGACATTTTAATTAGGGTTGTAAATTTGAATAGTCTATACATGATATACCTCACAAAGCTGGTTAATATATCATCAGATGTAGTAAGCTAATGTTACAGCTAATCAGTGAATTATATCTTCTAGCATGTGTTCTCTGAATATGTAGGCTTAGGACCTGATCCTGCAAACACTTACTACCATGTAGGCCTCACTATGGTAACTCATCCTTTGAAGTAATG